TATTGGGCTGGAAGTAAATACCTCCTCTGGTTTTTCTTGGATCTGTTTTGACTGATGCTATAGTCTTCCCTCCCGTTTTCCATAATCCTTCAGCCAGAGATCAACAGGCAGGAGCTGTGTGGTTTCTTCTCTGGGCAGGATCCAGGGAAGCTTCCCTTCCAGTGACAGGTCAGCCCAAGGGCTCTGCCTCTCCAGCCTTGGCACACGGCATGCATTCCAAGACCGTATGTCAGGTACCTAATTCATCGTCATAGCCTCGGGCTCCCGACGCAGCCTCTGGCGCCAAGGGACTCTGCTTGAGAAGGGTTTGCAGAATGAAGGATAAAACATGTGGCAGGAAGGACTGATGAGTGTCAGCCAGAGTTGGTCCCCGTGCTGAACTGTGAACCCTCATAAATACCCTCCGAGTCTGGGTTCATGTGGGCATGACTGCAGCCAGCAGGAGGCTGGGCCCCCGAGGAGACCAGGTGTCTGACGTAACTGTGGGTGGCTCCCGGAGACTTCCTACCCAACGTCAGCTCCCTGACTCATGCTTGGAAGTGACTCGAGATGGGCTGCTTCCCTTGAGATACTTCTTCCAGAAAGGGACCTCCCTGTACTGTCTAAGGCCATTACTGCTGATAAAACACAACACAAAACAAAAACCCCCAACCCCCCCCAAAAAACCTAACACACCTAATCCTGAACCCTGTCTCTTGCCACAAACTCACTCATTGTCCTTTGCTCTCAGTTTTTGACAATCCCAGTTTAGAAACCCTCCCCAGCCCTTGAAGCTGCAATTCTCCCGGTCGTCTCCGGCATCCCTCTCTCCTATACCCCCGTGGGGAGTTGTTCTGTCTCCTCGGTTCCTTGATGGCTCTCCATAGTGCCCCTACTTCTTCACCCACAGTTTCCACCTTCCTTCATGCCTTCGTCTTGAGCCTGAACTGCTTACCCCACGGCATAGCTGGCCTTCCTGCTCTCCAGTCTCCCCCAGGCTGTCAGAGTTCTGTTTTATTTTTATTTCATTTAAAGATTTTATTTATTCATTTGAGAGAGAGAGAGAGAGCGAGGGAACAAGTAGAGGGCTGGGGGGGGAGAAGAGAAGCAGACTCCGTGCTGAGCATAAGTCTGGCGTGGGACTTGATCCTGGGGCCAGGAAATCATCCCCCCGAGCCAAAGGTAGATGCTTAACCGACTGAGCCACCTGGGCACCCAAGAGTTCTGTTTTAAAAGTTACAGCTGCTTGTATCACTCCATGTGTTAAAAGCCTGTTTGCTGTGCATACCTCCAAACTGAAATTCAAACTCAAGGGCCCAGCACAGAGCTGACCTTGGCAGTGCGCTGACCTTTGCCGGCTGTCATGCCCCTCGGCCTCCCCTGCAGCCCCCGCCTACCCAACCTCTCTCTGTCTCAGGTGGCCCACTGCTTCAGGCCTCTGTGTGTCTCCAGGTGGCACACCATTCTTTTCGGCCTCCTGCTTTTTCCAGTGGCTAAACTCTTCATGCTTGAAACCCCGCCTCCGATGGCCCCTGGGAGTCCCCCCCACCCCGCCCTTCCGCAGAGAGATCTGATGGTTTTTCCGTGTTGATCTGGATGTCTGATCCATGCTCGACTGTGAGCTTTCCTGTAGCTTGGCCTCTTTCGTAGGCCTCCCCAAGCATGATGCTCAGGACCCCGTAGGCCCTCAATAAGGATGAAAGACGTGATTGTGTTTGATTGTTGCTGTAACATAAAATGGAATAGGGCCCAGTTCTCACTCCGAGGCAGGTGCCCAAGGCTAAGGGCAAGGTACGTGGCCTCGGTCACATTGGACCGAAGCAGAAGTTTTGGCTGCACTGGTAGAAGGAGGTAGGTGGGCTTTAGGAGTGGAGAATTCAGCAGGAGGGACATTTTACAGAAAGAGGCTTCCTCATGCAGTCATGGTACCCCCAGAGCCAGGGGACTGGGAGCCAGGATTCCCGATTTATGCCCCACGGGTGGGGTGATGGGATGGGGTAGATAAACTAATGCGTGCCTCCTCCCTGAACGTGTCCACCTGCATGTATGTTTTGTTACGTGGGAAGAGGGTCTTCGTAGATGTAATTAAGGACCTTAAGACAGGAAGGGTAGCCTGACTTTCTCCCTGGGCTTCCAGTTAGGAATGCAGCCCTGCCAACACCTTCATTTTAGCCCAGGGAAACCAAGTTAGCCTTCACACCGCAGAACCATGAGCTGATAAATGGGCATCCTTTTTTTTTTTTTTTTTTTTGAAAGATTTTATTTATTTATTTATTTGAGAGAGCAAGCACAAAGGGAGATTGTGAGGGAGAAGCAGACTCCCTGCTGAGCAGAGAGCTGGACGTGGGGCTCAATGCGGGGTTCAGTCCCAGGACCCTGAGATTGTGACCCGAGCCGAAGGCAGCTGCCCAACCAATCGAGCCCCCCAGGCACCCCAGTGGGCATCCTTTTAAGCTGCTAAATTGGTGGTAATTTGTTAGGGCAACGATAAAAGCAAAAATGGAAAAAGGTAACTCACACCCCAGGGCAGGAAGCCTAGTGGAGCCCTGGCCTCGAGGCACAGGCAGGCCACCCTTTTAGACCTGGAACAGCACTTTGCTATTTCATCCGTTCTTATTGTGGCCATAGATAAAACAACTGCATTTCCACACTTGGCACTTATTCACAGAAATCTTATCCTGGAAAAACAATTTAACAGCCTGTTTCAAAACATTCTTTCCTGCCGGGCCATGGAGTTCTTTGGTGCAATTCCAAGCATGAGGATCACAGACAGAATTTACTTAACCTTACTTTTGTTGTTGTTGTTGTTGTTGTTGTTGTTTTTCTCGATCAAGTCCTCCTGTGCTGTCAAAAACGACAGATAGGACATCCCTTTTGTCCCCTCTGGGATCATCATGATGGTGTCTCTGCTTGAGAGAGCCGACTTGCTGTCAGGAAACAGAGGTGGGAATAAATCAACGGCTGCTCTCGGGGTGGGCCTGCTGTGTGCTGGTCCTTTCTCGGGCTCCCCCAGGTGCTCTGGAGTGCTCCCCATTCCTGGGCTTAGCTGCACCCACAGCACTGAATTAAGAATTGGGGTGCTGAGGGGCGCCTGGGTGGCTCAGAGGGTTAAGCCTCTGCCTTCGGCTCAGGTCATGATCTCAGGGTCTTGGGATCGAGCCCTGTGTCGGGTTCTCTGCTCAGCAGGGAACTTGCTTCCTGCCCCACCCCACCCCGTCTCTGCCTGCCTCTCTGCCTACTTGTGATCTCTGTCAAATAAATAAATAAATAAAATCTTTAAAAAAAAAAAAGGAATTGGGGCGCCTGGGTGGTTCAGTTGGTTGAGTGTCTGCCTTCAGTTGAGGTCATGATCCCAGAGTCCTGGGTTCGAGCCCCATGTCTTAGTCTCCCTGCTCAGGAGGGAGTTTGCTTGTCCCTATATCTCTGCCCCTCACCCTCACCCTCTCTCTCTCTCCCTCCCTCTCTCACATGTGCTCTCAAATAAATAAAATCTTAAAAAAAGAAAAAGAAGGAATAGGAAGCCTGAGGGTACCTGGCTGGCTTAGTCGGTAGAGCGTGTGACTCTTGATCTCAGGGTTGTGAGTTCAAGCCCGGTGTTGGGTGTAGAGATTACTTAAAAATAAAATCTTAAAAAAAAAAAAAAAAAAAAAAAAAGAATCAGGAAGCCTCATTTCTCCTGGCTGTGGTTCTCCCTGTTCTGCTGTGGTCTCTACCCTCTGTAGGTCTTCAGTCAGTCTGTGAAATGAGGGGCTTGGGTGAGATTATCCCAAAGGTTGGGGCAAGAGAGAGTTGGTCTGTAAAAATGCGTTTCCTAAAGCAGCAGCCCTGGGAGAGTTTGACTGCCTTTTGACAGCAGTTGGCCCTTGTTTCTCCAGTTTAACTGTCCCATTTCTCGGCTCCAGACACTGAATTCTGTCTGGCTTTCCCTCTCTCTGAGACACTTCCTCCTGGATAACCCTGGCTGCACCTAATTTCTATGGGTAACTTTTTCTGTGTTGGTCAGAGGGTCTTGTGCCCCCCATCCCCTTGCCCCCAAAGAATTAGCCTTCCAAAGTCACTCAGGAAAATTACTTAGTGACAATTTTTTTGTAGTTGGCCACTCCTGCCCAGGCACTGTCTTCTGTCTTCTACTTAGGACTGCCAGGTACACCTGCACAGGCTGAGCACTGCAAAACTCTTGCCAGTGTCTTCTGATCCTGGCCTTCCCAGGGTTAGACCATTAGGCCTAGGTTGTAGCACATAACAAAAATAATTTTCCGGGGGCACCTGGGTGGCTTAGTCAGTTAAGTGTCCAACTCTTGATTTTGGCTCAGGTCATGATCTCAGGGGCATGGGATTGAGCCCCGAGTCAGGCTTCATGTTCAGTGGGGAGTCTGCTTGAGATTCTCTCTCCCTCTCCCTTTGCCCCTCACCCCTGCACTCTCTCTCACTTTCTTTTTCTCTAAAATAAATAAATAAATCTTCAGAAATAATAATACTACTACCTACCTCATGGGGTTGCCCTGAGTATCCAGAGAAACCCAAGAAGCCAGTATATGGGAATGAACAGCTCCTGGCAAAGACACTGAACTGGGGACATCACCTGTGTGGTTTATTTGCCAAAAGCGCGTGACCTCCGTCTAACCACGAGAAACATAGGACAAAGTCTATGAGGGATGTTCTATAAAACAACTGACTGGTATTCTTCAAAAAATGTCAAGGTCTCGAAAGACCAGGAAAGACTAAGGAGCTGTCGGAGGGGACTAAGGAAGTGTCCCAGGTGGGATCCCAGGTGGATCGTGGAACAGAAAGACAGTAGTAGTGGGAGAACGGAAGAAATCCAAAGTAATTCCCCAGTATAGTTAATAGTACATCGCACTGAGGCGAATTTCTTCACTTTGACGATTTTCCTGTGCTTATGTAAGATGTTAGTTAATACAAGGGGAAGCTGAGCAAAGATGTCCGGGAACTCTGTCCTTTTTTTGCAGTTCTTCTGAAAGTCTAAAATTATCTCAAACCAAAATGTTAAAAAAAAAAAAAAGAATGGCATGTTGCTTGGCAGACCTTAGGGCCAAGTAGATGTGCATTCCCTTGCTCCCCTGGGTCATCCTGGGGACACTGGAGTCCCTCCCCCCCACCCCCCAACACATACACAGAGGGAGGGGACAGTGGTTTCCAAGGAGGGAAGGTGTGATGAGTCCAGGCTTATCAGAGGAGGGCGATGTTCTGGCGGCCAAGCCTAACAGAGCCGACTGCTCCGGGGTTTTGGCAGGATTGAAGTGGGACCTCCGTACGCCGTCTCACAGACACGCTCTGCCCCCTTCACCTGGCCCTCTGGGCCCAAAGAGAGCAGTCGAGCATTTTGCAGTCAGAGGATAGTTTCCACTCCAGGTTTGTTACTTATTATCCCGGGGGGACCTTGGGAAAGTTACTCATCTGTGATATGAGATAATGTCCTGGCATCTGGGCTCAGTGAGTGGGTTCAAGGGGAGAGTCCAGAGCAGGAAGCCAGTGCTGGCACTTGTTCCCTCTCCCAGCGAAGCCTTCTGGGATAGCTCCGGCGGAAGTGTCCTCCACCCTCTGGGTTCCCTGCCGCACTCACTTTGTGCCCTGCCAAGGGCCCTTTCTGGGGATGGCCTTCTAACGGTCCACTGTTGGTGTGTCTTGTTTGCCCCATGACCTGGAGCTCCTGTAGGCCACTGGGCTTTGCATGTGGGAAAATGTACAACTGTGGTGAGTGAGTGAGTAAATGAATGAATGAATGGGTGAATGAGAGTGATAGTGCGTGAATGAATGAATGAGTGAACGAGTGAGTGAATGAAGGAATGGTTGAATGAGTGATTGAGTGGATGAATGAAAGGGAGAGTGCATGAATGAATCAGTGAACGAGTGAATGAATGAATGAGCGAACCAGTGGATGGATGAATGAGTGGATGAATGAGCGTGAGTGAGAGTGTATGAATGAATGAGTGGACAAGTGAGTGGGTGAACGAGTGAGTGAATGCACGCCCCTCCCGCCTCTCGGAAGGAGGGCTGTGTGCCACACATGGTTACTGGCTCGCAGGGCTGCCCCGTGTCAGGCTCTTCTCTGGGACGACGTCAGAAGTGTTCCGGCCAGACACACCCTTTGATTATGATTTTTCTCCCCCTCTCTTGGGTCCCAGTCACCTCTCCAGAAGAAGCAATTGACTCCTTTTCTTACACTGTGTGAACATCTCAAGCCTTAAAGCTGTTCCTTAGTACTTCAGAATTCTCCAGAATTCTCTGACTTCTCTCTCTCCTTGCTGCTGAGAACTTTTTGCCACAGGAAATCAGGCTCATTTTAAGGGCCAAACAGTCACTAAATATAGCCTGCCGGCACAGATATTTAAAGAGTTGTGTTGATGATGTTATGTCTGAACAGAGAAGACGGGGAAGAAAATAATTTTTTTTTTCTGGAAGGAGGAATGAAGTTACACGCTGCTTCTGTGGGTCTGGGGGGAGCAGAGAGACAGTATGGCCTTAGCATCTTCCTTGTGGGATCACCAGTGTTTGTCACCAGCTTGGGCCTCAGAATTTAGGGTTCTGGGGCCAGGCAGTCTTTTTTTTTTTTTTTTTTTTTTTGATAATTCCTTCTTATCTCTATTTAAAAATACCTCCTGCCCTGGACAGTGACCTTGGACAAATGTGCCTTCCCTGCCAAGCCCAGGAGAGCTGCCCTCCCCAACCAGAACGGGGTAGAGGGCATTATCCTCTCCCAGTCGCTGTCTGATGAGCAGCAGGTGACAAAGGCAGAAGAAGGAGTGGGATGGAGCCCAGGGGTCGCCATGACACGGAGGGAGTGGCTTCATGGCGACAGATGGCTTTCCTCCAGTTCCCTCTTCCAGCTTCCACCTTGAGCTCATTGCATGGTCAGGGTAATGTCAGGAGAGTACACGACTTTGGGGATGCTGTTTGGTTACTCAAATATTCCTGCTAGAATATAAATAGGGCTATTTTAGGATTTCTCCAGAACTTTCTTCAGGGCTGCATTTATTATTTCTTTGGGAGAGAAACGTCATAGCTCTTTCTGTAAGAAACTGCAGTGAACCATCTTAGTCTTTGTCTGAAGATGTCTCCGTATTTCCATCGTTTCCCTCCCCTCTGTCACAACCATGATTTTATTAGTATTTGTTTGCTGATCGGTACACAAATATCACAAGTCAATGCTGGTATTAAGAAGTCTAGGCAATGTAACTGCAAGGCTTTGCTTAAGAATTACTTAGCCAGGGGTGCCTCAGTGGTTCAGTCAGTTAAGGATCTGACTCTTGGTTTCGGCTCAGGTCTCGATCTCGGGGTTGTGGGATCAAGCCCCGTGTTGGGCACTGCACTCAGTGGGGAGTCGGCTCAAGATTCTCTCTCCATCTCCCTCTGTCCCTCCCCCCCTACAAATTAAATAAATAAAATCTTAAAAGAAAAAGTTAATTGGGCAGTGTTCCAGCTTAAAATTTGGAGACATTTTATCCACAAGCAGAGGACACCAGAACTCGGAATCCTCAAATATTTCTAGCTCGCAAGCCTTTTACGAGCAATGTCCTGATTATAGAGGATGTGACACCTTACACATTATATCCACGGGCCATTAACAGGTTTGGGGAAATTCTGGACCTTCCTTCCCTACCAGGATCTTGCCACAGAAAGTGTGCAACTCTGATAAGGAAATAAAAGAACATGTAGAAGGCACAGAGACAATGCTAGTAGGGGAAAAAAAAACCCTACAAATATGAAAGAAGGGTCATTTAAAATGACTCTGTCCTTTGGGCTATGTGTATTTTAGAGAACTTTTTATAATGCTCTTCACAGTCTGTGGAATGCTAAGTTTACATCAAACAAAGCCTTTCTTAATCCAACATTCCATTAATTTCTGGTTTAACTAGCACATGATTTTATTTCTTAAGTCATTTGTACTTACTTAAAGTTGTATTAACACATGGGATATGGTGGGATGCCATGCTTCTTGATTTATTTATTTTTTTTTAAAATTTTATTTATTTATTTGACAGATAGAGAGCACAAGCAGAGCAGCAGGGAGAAGCAGGCTCTCTGCTAAGCAGGGAGCCTGATGGGGGGCTCGATCCCAGGACCCTGGAATCATGACCTGAGTCGAAGGCAGCTGCCTAACCAACCGAGCCACCCAGGTGCCCTGCTTCTTTAAAAATATGTTTCCAGAATTACAGAAAACTTACGTTTCCAAAATCATTGCTGAAGTTGTTCCTTAGAATTGTAGGAGAAAGAGTACGTAAGAACCACCACTGAGACTGGTCTAAGACTGGTTTGTCTCCCACTGCATTTGAGCCTGAAATAGCCTCAATTTTAGATTCTGGTTCTGCTGCTGAATCTTTAGTCTCTGCCTCCTCTGCCCATTTCGTTGAGAGTTTTTTGGTCAGAAGATTTATCCTTTCCAATTACCATTTTTTGTTCTTTTTTTTAAGTAGGCTCCATGCCCAGTGCAGAGCCCAACACAGGGCTCAAACTCAGAACCCTGAAATCAAGACCTGAGCTGAGATCGAGTCAGATACTTAACCAACTGAGCCACCCAGGTGCCCCTATATTTCATGTTCTTCAAGGCCAGATTAGAGGACTATTCTTTGATCTTCTTGGGGTTTTTCTTTAGTGCCCGTTCAGCAGAATTGATTTTCCTTCTAGTCAATCTTGGCTGCAAGCAGTGACCATGGACACAGTGAGGCAGGGCAGTGCGAAGTGCGTGTGGTACCGTGGTGAGAACCTTCCAGTATCCAGCAACCTCACCCTCCTGCTACCTGAGCTGCTGGGATACCAGCTGGAGGGAGAATAGCAGATTAAACAGGATTAGGATCCTGCTTCCTTCTCACCACACTGTTGGCTCTTTTTCTTTTCTTTTTTTAAATATTTGATATTTTTGATATTTGAATTTTAATATTTGATATTTTTGATATTTGAATTTTAATATTATTTGAGAGAGAGAGCATGCAAGAGGAGGAAGAGAGGGAGAGGGACAAGCAGACTCCATGCTGAGCACAGAGCCCGACTCGGGGCTCGATCCCACAACCCTGAGATCTTGACCAAAGTCGGATGACGCTTAAGTGCTTAATCGACAGAGCCACCTAGGTACCCCGGGCTCTTTTTCTTCAGGGCTTTTAAGCAATTCTGTTGTCTTCAGGCACTTACTTCATCTAATTGTCAATCCCTCATGGATAATCTACCTTTCTCTCTGATAGTTTTTTTCTTTTCTTTTCATGTGGTGCACTATGTGCACTAGGGAATTTATTTTATTGTTTTTGGAACTTGTTTTAGCTTTCACTCTAATTTTGGAAAATTCTCAGCCATTATCTCTCTGATTATTGCCTTTGAATTCTTTATCTCTCTTTTTCAGCTCCTATTAAGTGTGTTGTGGAATATCTCGTTTTGCCTTCCATTTTATTTAATGACTCTTTCATATTTCTTATCTGTTTTTCTTTCTGTTTTCACTCTGAATGATTTCCTCAGATTCATCTTCTATTCACAAATTCTCTCTTTGGTTGTGTCTAATCTGCTCTTTAATTTCTAAAATATCTATTTGGTTCTTTTTAAAACTCACTTGCTTTTTACCTGTAATGTCTTACCTGTGCTCTATGGTTTCTAGTCCATCTTGTTGCATATTTTATTTTTTTTTAAATTTTATTTATTTTTAATATTTTATTTTTGAGCAATCCCCACACCCAGCATGGGGTTTGAACTCACAACCCCAAGATCAAGAGTCACACATTACACTAACTGAACCGGCCAGGTTACCCATGAACAATATAGTTCTGGGATACTTCATTCTCTGTTAGCATTTGATTTTTCCTGTATCTGTTGTCATTTTTGTCTGTGAGATCATCTTTGGTGGAAATTATATTCTGTGGGGTCCTGCAGGTGCCCTGTATTATGGCAATATCCCTTGGGACAGTTACATGGTTGTCTCTGTTAGGTTCTACAGGGCTCGTTGGTTCCAAGTCAAGTTTTATGTGATTTTCCAGGGCAACGCTTCCACATTGCATAAATAGTAGGGGAACTTGTCACATACATGCAGCGCTGGCCAGAGACTCTGGCTTCTTGCTGGTCTCCCCACCAAGAGTCTGGGCCTTCCAGCTTTGTCTAGGAATTCATTTCCAGATCCCTGGTGCACACATACTCAGTGGTCTCAAATTTGGCCCCTTATAGAGTATATCTGGTTTGTTGAATCGCTTCTCAGCCTTTTGGCTAAGATCAAGTGTATCTGGTTTCTTGATCCTGTAGTATGTGTGTTCAGATCCCATACGCTACAGTAGCTTTTTGGTACCTGGAGATGCTTTCGTGTTCATCTACATGTTAATAATAGTTTTAATTTTTCCCCCCCCAGGGGTGCCTTGATGGCTCATTCAGTAGATCACCTGACTTTTGATCGAGTTCAGGTTTTGATCTCAGGGTTATGAGTTCAAGACCCACATTGGGCTCAATGAAAAATACATTTTTTTTCCCCTAGCATGTCTGCATGTTATGGGAGAGATCTTATGTATGACAATTCCAGGCTGCTCTCTTTACCCAAGTGTTAGTTCCCTACTATTCATCTTCTACAAAGCAGCCAGAGAGATCTTTAAAAAAAAAAAAAAAAAGGCAAAACACACACATAAATCAGGGGTACCTGGTTGACTCAGTTGTTGGAGATGGTAACTTTTGGTCTTAGGGTTGTGAGTTCAAGTCCCAAAGTTGGTTGTAGAGATTACTTTAAAAAGAATAAAATCTTAATAAATAAATAAAATAGGGATGCCTGGGTAGCACAGTTGGTTAGGTGTCTGACTCTTGGTTTCAGCTCAGGTCGTGATCTTGGGCTCATGAGATCAAGCCCCACGTGGGGGGTCAGTTTGGAGTCTGCTTCAGATTCTCCCCCTCCTTCGGCCCCTCCCAACTCCCATCCCCATGCTTGCGTGCACGCTTCTCTCTCTCAAATAAATCTTTAAAAATAAAATAAATTAAAAAAACATAAATCTGGTTATTTTACCACCCTGCTTAAAACTTTCAAGTGGCTTCCTGATGGCTTAGAATAAAACCTGCCTTCAGTAAGTGAACTGGAACATTGTCTACATGCTCTCCCTGATGCCCTACCAGTGTCATTACACTCACTGGCCTCCAGCCCTTTGGTCTTTCTGCCTATCTTGCTCCTGTCTTAGAAACTTCACATCTGCCATATGTTCTCTGCCCAGTTGCTGCCACTTTTTTAAAGGGACTTCTTCTGACACCCGACCCCCAAAAGCTAAGGTACACCCCAACTCGCTATCATATCTTTGTGTCTTCTTCATACCACAAATCACTGGGTAGGATCATCTTGTCATTTTTTGGAAGGGGGTGGTTATATCACGTATCTCCCTCCCCTGCCAAGGCTGGAGTGAGGCTCCATGAGCAACAGAAGAATCTTATTTACTGTTGACCCTCAGCCTCCCTCACGGTGCGGTGGGACAGAAATTAACCAAGAGCTTCTCCTTTGTAGATTAGATCACTCAACCCCTGTCACCTCTCCAGAATTCCTACGCACAACATCAGGAAAGAACCCTCTGGAGGCAGAGTCAAAGATCCATGTTCAGTTCTGGCCACAGGACTAATTCCCTGTGTGATCTTGGGCAAGTCATGTCGCTTGTCCCAGTCTCCATTTCCTCACCCCTGGCATGAGGGCAGCCATGCATGGTAGAGTTTCTGTGAGAACGTGATATGCGTGATCTCATGGTCTCGGGAGAGGCAGGGCAGCAGTCCCTCTCAGTTAGGAGTAAAATGTTCACGTCTCCGTGAGGGGCTAGATGGGTGCTCCCTGCCAGCATCGTGGAGCCCTACGAGACTTTGTTCCTGTGTCCTAAGCTCCTCCTCACTGGTTTTCTCTATATGTTCTTTCGCCTCTGCTGTGGCTGTATTTTGGGTGACTGTATGGGTGGTAAGCTCTGTGTCGCCCCACTAACAAATATATTTTGGGGGGCTTGCTCTAAATGCCAGATCCAGTCCTCATGGAGGCTGTGCACTGTCCCTGGAGGGCGGGGGTCCTGTTGTCCTCTCTGGCATGTTCTCCACAGTTCTGTCGGGGTTCTGAATTCGTGAGTTAGTTGACATGCCTGCCTGGCAACAGACGTGCCCCAAAAGGGATCATCGTTCAGCGCGTCAAGTTTCCTTGGTGCCTGCAGGGCCGGGTGCCAGGAATCAGTGACGAATCAGACTTGACTGCTAAGTTCAAGTTCCTCCAAGACCCCAGTGGGCTGAACGGTCACTGCAGTCCGCTAACCACAGAAGCTGAGGATGCCGACGTGGGTGGGAAGAGCCCAGGAAGGCAGGATGAATGGCCTCAAGTTGCTTATTCAAGAGCTTACGGCCAGGCTGTGGCTTGCAGTGATTCCAAACCTGATGGCCATGGGCAAAAGGGGAGAAAGTCAGTGCAGACCAGAGCAGCCAGGAAGGCCTCAGAGGAATGAGGGGTGGAGCCGAGGGGAAGGGAAGGGAAAAGTGTGAATGAACAGAAGGTGCAGCACGCTCAGAGACCAGACTGGCGTCCTGGAGACGGGATTCTTTCCTGGGCTTGTTTGGTTTGGCTCACACGGTGTTTTTTGAAAAATTGGAACTTGATGTCTTTATATGGAGAACACACTCTCCTGCCCCCATGGTCCTCACCACTCTGAATTTCCAGCCTCGACCTGCCGAAATACATTTATGGAACCAGCCCAGACCCCTGCCCACAGAAAACCCAGGAGAATCAATGGAAAAGAGAATTAACAGGCAAGGTCAGCATCAGGAATACAAGCGCTGGAAGCAAAACATGTAAAAATCAATTGTGTATTTTCCTACAGTAACAGCAGGCAGCTTGAAAGGACCTTAGAAAACAGATCCTATTCACAGAAACAACAAGAGCATAAACACAGCTTTATACAAATCTGAACTCTCCAGGCCTTCATTCTCCTTGCAAATCATATTTATTGAGTGTCATGCATTTTATTTTAAAGTTTTAAAAAATGTATGTAATGTTTAAATAGGCAAAATGAAAAAAAAAGATTTTTTTAATTAAAAAAGAATTTTTTTTTGAAAGATTTTATTTATTTATTTGACAGAGATCACAAGTAGACAGAGAGGCAGGCAGAGAGAGAGAGACGGAAGCAGGCTCCCTACTGAGCAGAGAGCCCGATGCGGGGCTCGTTCCCAGGACCCTGAGATCATGACCTGAGCTGAAGGCAGAGGCTTTAACCCACTGAGCCACCCAGGCGCCCCAAAAAGAATTTTTTTAAAGGAAAAGAAAAGTGAAAATATCCCTCCAACCGTTGTCCCCCAGCTGCCTCGTTCCTGTTCAGCTCCAAGAGAGAACTACTCATTTACTAATTTCTTGTTGAGTCTCCAAATATTTTCATGTACAAGCAAACATGAATATCCTGAAATATGAGCCTCTTCCCCACTTTTTCTACAAATGATAGTTCAGAATCCTGCTTTTCACTTAACCAGCTATCTGGGCAGTCTTTTTATACCAGCATATAAAAGGCCTCCTCGTTCCTTTTTACGGCCAGATAGTAAAAAAATATTTTTCAGATAAATCTGTGGGCTCCAGAGTAAAGTTGCCTGGATTGGAACCTGCTGTGATTTTTGTACTAATGATCTCGGTGTGCCTCAATTTTTAATGCAGAAGTGGAAATAATAGATACCATTGCAAGAATTTGGTGAGATAATGCTTATAAAAGTGTTTAGAACAGTTGCCGATTCTCATTATAACAATGAGGGGTAAGGAGTGGCTTGGGGGGTATTTTAGATAGAGGGGCCCCTGTTGAAAATCACCAAGTTTACTGAGAGCTGTAAAGCAGATGAATGAATGGAGAGACAGGCTTTGTTTCTGGATGGCAGCTATCGAATTTATAGAAATGTAAGCTCTTCCCAGTGTAATTTATACTTCTCCCATGTACAACGGAAACCCTGGTAGAGGATTTATTTGGGGACTCAGGTTTTCCTAAGGTTTATCTGGAAGAACAAACGAGAGTCACTTTAAAACTTTGCAAAAGAGGGGGCGCCTGAGTGGCTCAGTGGGTTAAGGCCTCTGCCTTCGGCTCAGGTCATGATCTTGGGGTCCTGGGATCAAGCCCTGCATCGGGCTCTCTGCTCCACTGGGAGCCTGCTTCCTCCTCTGTCTGCCTGCCTGACTACTTGTGATCTCTCTGTCAAATAAATAAATAAAATCTTTAAAAAAAAAAAAAAACTTTGCAAAAGATCGTGTCGAGGAGAAGCTTGCCCTGCTAAAGATTCAAACACATTTTAATGATTAAAACTGACATAATTAATGGCTTAAGCATAAACAGATCAGTAGAATAGAATTAATAGCCCAGAAACATATTTTTTATGGACATGTAAATTAACTGTAGGACAGAGGGGACCTTGGAAGTCAACAGGGATGGAAAGATCTTTTGATAAATTAGGCAGGGTTAGGCACCTGCTTAGCTGTTTGTGGGGGAGAGTCTCACCTCAGGCTGTATGCCTAGATATATTCTAGATGGATTAATACGTAAATTTGAGGCACACCTGGGTGGCTCAGTTGGTTAAGCGACTACCTTAAAGCTCAGATCGCAATCCCAGGGTTCTGGAATTGCGTCCCATGTTGGGTTCCCTGCTCAGAGGGGATCCTGCTTCTCCCTCTGCCCGCTGTTCCCCCCCCTGCTTGTGCTCTTTCTGATAAATAAATAAATAAAAATGTTTTAAAAAGTCCTTGCAGACTATAGAAGGAAGCTTTTGGGGAAGAGGAGGGCCTCTGAGTTTTAAAGCAGTCAAAAATAGCACAATGAAAGAAACATTGACTTTCCTGATCACAAAAAGTTAAGGGCTCTTTGTTAGTTCCCTAGGGCTGTTGTAATAAAGTACCCTAAACTGGGTGGTTTGAAATAACAGAAATATATCATCTCACTTTTCTGAAGGCCAGAATGGCAAGCTGGAGCTGTTGGCAGAGCCAGGCTCCCCCTGAAACCTATACGGAAGAATCCTTCTTTGCTCCTTCTAGTGTCTGGTGTTTGCTGGTAGACCTCGGTGTTCCTTGGCTTGGACGTGCGTTATCCCCATCTCTGTCCCCATTTTCACCTGGGGTTCTCCCTGTGTGTTGTTTTGTCTCTCCCTTCTCTCTCTCTCTCTTTTTTAAAGATTTATTTGAGAGAAAGCACATGCAGTTGAGTGGGGGGAGGGACGGAGTGAAAGAATCTTAAGCAGACTCCCTGCTGAGCGTGGAGCCAGATGCGGGGCTCAGTCCCAGGACCCCACGATCACGATCTGAGCCAAAATCAACAGTTGGCCACGTAACCGGCTAAGCCATCCAGGAGCCCCATGTCTCTCTCTCTTATAAGGACACTGGTCATATGGAACTAAGGTCCCACCCTATGCCAGTGGGACCACATCTCAAATTAAGCAATACATGCAGCAGCCCTTTTTCAAAGTAACTGGGGGTTAGGACTTTAGCATATCCTTGGGAGGGGATATATTTCGACCCTTAACGGGTTTCACATGTCCCAGTACAATAAAGGACTTCATCTAAAGTAGCAGATTGGTTACATGCACACATCTCCCAAGATTGGCTACAATAACAGTAAAGAAGAATGAGAAAAACCTACAAGAATGAAAAATGGAGTGGGATCGTTATCAAGTGAGATGTTTCAATACATTTTGGAAAGAATTAAAGGGGGTACTAACAGGAGAGCAGATATGCTGCGCTGGGCCCAGATGAGCCTGAGCTTGGAACATTGTGGTGGGGGAGGTGTAGGGGAGGGCTGAAATCAGGCGGAAAGGGTATCTGTCCGTAAGAACTGGTCCTCCCACCCCCCCCTGCTGCTTTCCAACACAGGCATTTATATGGCAGCAATGGACCAGATTGGAGAAACGGATCCAGATGAATTCCTAACTCAGAGATTCTATGTGGCAGAGGGTGGGGTACCCCGGTGCTGAAAACAAGGGGATTCATTCAGAACTTGTACTCCGTCCAGATGAGCCAAGGATATCCACCTCCCATGCCAGTGATCAG